CTCAACCCTAAGGCCGTCCCTGACACGCACCTGCGACAGCGAGCGAGATCGGGAGAGAAGAAGGCAGCGGCTTGGAGCTGGACCGGCAGGAAAGGCGGAGATGCGGTCGCGGCGGCCGGCGGGTGCTCGGGTGGGGATGGATAATTCCCAACCCAAGCAGGAAGAAGCAGTTAGGTAGCTCCTACACGAAGAAGAATATAATTGGTTTCGTTTCGGGCTTGGCTTATACTATACTCATCTGTTTGGGCTGTCCGGACAGAAGAACTTCACCAAACCGAAGCCCTTACACCTAACTCATTTGTTTGGGCTGTCCTGTATACATTATTGCAACAATTTTATTTCTTTTGACATTGATGCCTTCTAGTTTTTTCTCCCTCTATAAATTTTGGATCTAAGAGCATCTCCAACCAGACCCCCACTCTGTCTATATCTCCATTTTCAGGAGGGACAACTCGTCCAAGACCGCGCCCGGGCAGAAGAACTTCACCCAACCGAAGCGCTTAAACCTAACTCATTTGTTTGGGTTGTCCATTACCACCAATTTTCAACTCAAATATGGGGTGGATTTAAGGCCGCTCGAATGGCGCCGGCCTGACTACACAAAATCCCTCCCTATCCCCATCCCAGATGAAACCCTAGCCGTTTTGGACAGTCCACTCCACCCTCCCCCCTCCCCCAGATGAGACCATGGACATTTGAACAGTCTGCACTGCCCATCTCCTCTTCGACCATCTCCGACATGGCGACCAACGGCTTTGAGTCCACCCTATCTGGATCCAATGAAAATGTCGATTGGGAGCTCGCCGCCTGCTCAGGTGAGGAGGAGATAGCCCTCCGGCTCGCGCTTCGCTGGTCCCTGGTCGAGAGCCAAGCTCAGCCGTTGGAGCCATCATGGATCCAACAATAGGGCGCCTTCATTGCCACTCCACCTCAGATCCAGTAGCGGCACCGTGTCCGAAGGAATCTTGCAATGAGTGTTTCCTTCATCGCCGTAATAGGCGCACATAGTCTTGAGCAGCTCTGTGGCGTCCGAGCCACACGACATTGGGTGCTTGTCCCCGCACCATCGGTCTTGAAATCCGAGTATAAAATGACAACAATCACGGTAGCAGATTGCGATCAATGCGGCAACTTCGGCGGATACTACGAGGTCGAGGCACGACGTGCCCCCATGAGACGGAGAAGGCGCGCCGCAGCTCCTACTCGTCCGCCGCATCTACTATGGTGTCAGCGTAGTCCGGATCCAATGAGGGTTCGGTTGTCATCGTCGTGAACCAACGGTCCCTAGCCTCCAAGGAGTTGGATGCGTGCCATCATTGGATCAAGGCCAAGATCCTCTTCAAGGGCATTGAGCTGTCGTGTTGCGCCCGGATAAGAAAGCCACGGATGAATCTCGTGCCTGGATCGTTGTGAAGAAGAAAGTCCGGCAGTTCGTGCCCTCGCGAAGGAGCAATCCCTGGGCGTCCATGCCCACACCGGCCTGCCCTGACACTGCACGAGATTTGCCTTGACCCCAACACCACCTTCAACATATACTTCTGCGACAAAGATGACAATGGAAAGGGCAACCGTGGGTGATCTTCCCCTATCGATACTCCTAGTTTATTTGTGCTATCAAACAATCTAGTCTTAGTTAATGTCATCCGTTGTGGAACTTTTGTTGTTCTATGTCCTCTGATGTTTGAACTATGTTCTATGTATCTATGTATGCTATCTACATATGTGTTGATCGATGTTGCATTGCCTTTGTATGGATTTGAGAGTTTGCAAATGGGGGGCATGATTTCCGAGGTGGACAAATGTTGGTCGGCGTGCTCCTATATAAATATTAATGAGGGTTGTTTTAGATACAACACTAAGATACAGTGCATTGCATTACGATTGCTATATATAAACATCTTCCATTAGATATAGCTTACGATATAGTGCACTCGACTAGCCTGAGTGGGGAGGAAATAAACAGACTTCGCCCTGAGTGTTGGACGTAGTATTGCTTTTGTTGAGATTTGTTGAGAGTATCCCCCCCCCCTCACCACCGTCGGCCATGGCGGCCGGCGCTCGGAGGGATGGAGATCTAGATTCTAGGTATAGTTGTGTGTGTGTGTGCGCGCGCGCTTCCTCTCAGCGAGTAAAGCACATCTTGGATCTGTATCTCATCTGATGGTGTCATCCCATCCTCTCCATTGGGGTCACATTGATGGCAAAAGAGGAGGGTGAGATGGTTGCACGCGACAAATCTGTGGACGGTGTCCATGTGCTAGCCACATGGTGAAGGCTCGTCGACTTCATCCCAGCTTCCCAGACAGGTGGTGCTTTGCACACCGTTCCTTATCTTCTTCTTCGATATATTCTTGGCTCGATGGAAGACAGGACAAAGATTTGGAAGGTGGAGATATACAGGCTGCATCGTGCTGCTATTTACAGGAGTCCTCTCTGTTGGTTCACTCCTCTTAAGGCCACCTTGATGGTCGACAAAGATGGGGGAAAGCATAGAATTGGAGGTTGGTGGTTGTGTTCGAGCTCATCAGCAATGGATCTTGTAGCGAAGCTATGGCGCATGCGCCAACACTGGATGGCCGATCTTCTTCGCCAAAGGGAGCCCCCCCCCCCACCCCCCCACCCCACACACACCCAATCACTCATTTGCTAACAGCCTCGATGCCATATAGGAGGTAGTTTCATCCTTTATCCGGAGACCACGATGTGAAGGTGTTGCTGCTATGGAGGTCTCGTCGTCCCAAGTGGTTCGCCCCAGTGACGGTGAGATTAAATCTCTGTGGAAGTTTTATCGGACCCGATTGTGTTTTTTTCTGTTTAGGGTCCTCTTTGCAAAAGTTAGGGACTAGTTTGTAATTTACTTTTTTCATTGGGTTCTAGTGTAATATGTATTGTGGAGTTTATCTAATGAAAGTCTGGGTCCTTCGAGACCCTGCCCTCGTTCAAGAATAAAGTGTCTGAGTTGATACTTGTCGTCGAATATCGTATGGGATATCTCATACATGTAGAGACTACATACAAGAAATCGATATTAGATCAAACGGTTAGCACCATAAACTTTGAATTATAATAACTTTTTCTTTTGAGAATGTGACGCCGATAACTATAATTCTCGACAAACTTCATAAGGAGACTATTTGCCCGCAAATAATGCAGCAATGCAGCTCTAGTAGGTTCTCTTTGTGGCCTATAGGTCAACTCATTTTGGATCTTATGCCTAGTGATGTGACTCCTAGAGCAAATTATGCAGTTGGATTTATTTGATCATCGCCTTCAATTATTGGCATTAAAAAGTCACTACGGGATGTGACGGAATCTTTGCAAGTTAAAAAATATATAAATATATATGTATATAATCCCACAACTGTATTATATTCGGTTCTGCTTATCTACTTTGTCTCCAACCCTCAAGACAACTATTCTGGTTAAGACGTCACCACTACACAAGTATAGTTTTGTTAAACTAGCAGAGTTTCCAAGCATCTTCGTAAACGCATCGTATCATTGGCAAACTCAAGTGTCATTAGAAATGTATTGTGTGTCCAACCTTCGAGGTAAAGCCAAGACGTCAGAAGTGTTTTTTTTTTGGTAAAACTAGCAGGATTTTCAACGCAACTTCACAACACATCGGTTCACTGCCAACTCACGTGTG